CGACCGACCGACCGACCCACCCGGTCAACCCCGAATCCGTGACCACCATTGTCGAAGCAGTGACATTCACCACAGTGTGAAGATGACACCTGTGATTCACACTCATCACAGTGGAATGATTTGTGTCGTCTCATCGCTCTGTCTTCTGCTTCTCATGGCAGCAACAGCAGCAATAACACCGCACAGTGACTGACGCAATGTGTTACCACCGTCCACTAATTCCGATTTTTATTTCATGCAAATAAACTATTTCAGGTCACCAGTTGTGACTAATTTTTTTTTATTTTTTTTTGCCTAAAAAGGCTAATAAAATCCTTACAGAAAGGTGATAGTCAGCGTTGTAAGGTGGAATTCTTTTCCAAGGTGAGAATTTCGTTTTCAAACGGTTTGGTGATTGCCTAATTCTGGTGGTTCAGCGGGCTGAGTGTGGAGATGCGATATTTTTCTCCTCTCCACCTCAGTTAATTCCACTCTACGGTGAGAGTCTTCTCAGTCGGCGGGTTTGTGGAGGCGAGAGGTGTGAGGGAAGTGAGTTACCTTTCCACTGGGAAGCGATCAGCCTCAAGGATGCTGTGGATGATGAGGAGAAGGAGTGCCTTCCACCAGCATTCCTATGTGTGACGGCGGTCTTTTTCTCTCATCTGTTGGTTTATGATGCATGTATTTGCTTAACACCTTCCATTGCTATGCCTTGCCGCGTTCTGCAGGCCACTTGGTCCAACGCCCTCTTGAAGTTGGCACATCGACGACTTGGATTCACGTTTCTGCAAAGGGATCCATCCGATTCGACGATGAAGTCCAAAAAACGAGAAACTTCACGAAGGCCATAGAAGGGTGGACAGCAATGCACATCGACTCATCACTTTGGTAAGTGAGGTGGCGCTTTAGGATGGAGCGGACTTGGGGTTGATGATTTGAGATGTCCCCACCTGGCCACCTAATGGTTCCAACAACGTGTCGTCGGTCGAGGAGGAGGACAAAGTGACCGTCAAGTCTACGAAATTTAGCGATCCATGAGACTTTCATATAACCGTTTTTGATTAAAAAATTGTTTTTAAGGTCTCACCATGCCTTAACGAGTAAGCCACTTACTCTCACATCTGACGAGGGGTTAGGATGGTAGGTAAGGGCGTTATGCAGGCATCGCCTTTATCGAGACACGCAAGAGCGTCTGTGACACACCCGTAAAATTCGTGTGCAGGGGTGTTGTAAGCATCAGTATGTCAAGAAATGATATATGTCAGGGGTGTTGCATTTATGTTGACAAACTCCTGCCAAAATTTTGCATAAAACAATCCTCCCTAGGCAGTCGCCGACACACACCCTCCATTCCACTGGCAACGGAATGAAAGATGTCTGCCATCTTTGAAGCCACAGTCATGTTTCCTGTCACCCGAATAAAAATGGCAATGAAGGTCATATATTTCGGTATGAGTCAGCTTACTCAAACACTGCTACCGAACTGACCGACGAGATAGGCGTGACACCGAGGCGCGAATGACTATGTAAATTTTCCGACCTCCGATATGTGTCCAACACAAGGGTGAAGGTGTAAAAGCAAACCGTAGGTCCGACGTCACATTTTGTCTGTCACTAGCTCATCACCTGAGACAGGAGTCCTCAAAGCTCTGATCCCCTCAAGACTGTTTCGCGTTGACAAAAAAAATAATAAATGCGCCAGTACTCAGGCGAGAGACGGGTTATGTAAAGCAGATGGCAGTAGCGTTTGATTGCCTCTACTCTTTGCACATTCGTCGCGAACTCCGACAGGCGCCGCTGTACTGATGCAGTCAGTCGAAAGCGGAAGATAATATTGCCCGCAGATGAGTGATTCACGCCTCCATCAGCATTATGGAAGCAGCCTAACAATTTTCTTGGATTTTTTTTTCAAAAGAAAAAGAAAACCTTGTCAAATGGTTTAAGGGGATGGGATGAGGCATCCAGGAGGCAACTCTCGTACACACTAAATGCAGTCCAGTTAATGTAAAGAAGGAAGGAAGGAG